TGGTTCCTAGAGACGAACTGCAGTTCCAAAGGGTGTTTGCATCAGGTGACACAGTCGTATTTTTTGCCCTTCCGCATTTTCTGGTATGACTCCACCCGAATGCCATACGGCCTCTGTTTTCGCAAGCTAATGAATTGTTAATCGTTTTTCGGCTGCACCGAAATGTCACGCATGAAATTTTAAATTCCTTGCTCGAGAGAATTAGCGGTTAAGATCTAATTCGAAGTCTCTCACAGTTCGAAGCCGATCCCTCACTGTTACACCGCTCTCAGATTTGTTTAATATTATAGTCTGATTCGAGTGTATGTTGCGCTACTTTACGACTAGGTTAGTAGGGTTGGGAACATCTAACAACCTCATATTTCGTTTGTTCTACATCGCCCTACTTCCATTTTCTCTCCTGCAGATTAAATCTTTCTCAAGCCTTGTTTTATCAGAGACGAGATCGGTAATACATTTAGGTACATTTAGCATTGTGACCCTTTCCTGGGAATTCTACACGAATTCTGCAAATCATTTTCACATCTGTCAAGGACTAGTGCCGTTGTATATCAAAGCCAATGAGGTACTATTGTCATTTACTCGACGAAAAATCAGCAACCAGCGTTCAGTGCACAGAACACTGTAGTAACTTTGTCTACTAATAAAGAAGATATTACATGCAGTTTTCCAGTGCCTCTTCCATTCGTACCATCTGCAGGTTTTACAATTCGTTACCCTGTTTTTTCACAGTAATATGCGCTGTTTGACTAGTTGCAATATACTGTTTAGGAATTTCCTTTCGTACGTTCTACGGAAACTTTTTTGTTCGATCCACCGATCTGCTGGCCCTTCCTAATGTTAATCCGGATTCAGCATTCGGCGCTTTGCTGAACATCGATGAAGATTTAACCAGCAATAACACCGTTTTCTTTCAAGTGGCTTTGCTGTATTCGTCTAGCGCAGGTACTGCTTTTTTGGAGTTTCAGAAATTTAGTTTTCACGAATATTCATATTTAATTGAAAATATTACAATTCCATATTTTGCTGTATTTTTGACTTTTTTAGATATAGTATAACATTATAAACCGGATTTACACTGTTGAAATCATTCACTGTAAGCGTAATGTATAGAATAGCCAGGAAACCCAACTGATACTTTTGCAGTAGTTACTGCCGTCATTGTTTTCAGGGACTGACACGGCAGATCGGATTCGCAGCCGCGAATTTCAGCAGACTGTATGAAATGCGGAAAGATTGGACTATAGGAACTAGCATTGAGATCACCGTCCTGAAACCAGCCGTACTCGTGGTACTAATGTATGGTCTTGAATCATCACCAGCCCTTAAGCGTTATGAAGCTCGTTTTGACGACGACGACTTCATGCAGAGTTGTTTACGAAGCGTCCTTAAAGTGTATGTTCTTGTCGGATTACAAACAAGCTACTGTGGAAGACCTTTGAAGTCAACTGATGTGATTCATTTTTTTGTTTTAATTTCATTGAGAAGAGAGCCTTTTCTTACGTGGTATAATGGCATCGCGCTCTCTGCCTCCTCCTTGACTGAAATGCTTAAAACTCAGGTACAAGCTGCCGACATGGGCTTTCTTAGACGAGTCGCTGGCCTGATGCGTCTCGACATGGTCCGGAATACTGACATCCGGAAGAGCCTTGGTGCACAGCCTTTGCTTCAGCAGATTGAGAAACCACGGTTGCAATGGATTGGGCATGTGTTGCGAATGCCTCCAAAAAGTAAGGCCAAGCAACTGTTTCTTGCGAACCGGCAGAAGGCTCAGGAGACGGCCAAGATTTACCTGATTTTTGAACGAGTCTGTTCCAGACTCCAGTTGTTTTCTCCTGAAGCTCAAACTCTGGCACTGGATCAGGAACTTTAGAAGCATTGTCTAATGCGTCTGCTTCCGTGACCCGAAAAGCGGTCAAGGAAGCTGAATAAATGAATGAGAACAGCGAATCGCTGCCCGCTCACATTCAAAGACAGAAATGGAAGCAATGTCTATGCCCTTGTCTGCCTTTGAATGACGTTTTTTAAGCCACAGTATTAATGAGGGCATTCATCAGATTTTTCAAAATAACAGTATCCTTTGACCCGTAGGTACTTTTCTTCTTTTTTGGGTATTAGAACCTTCATTGTTTTCCACATACTGGTTTGATAAATGATAAGGTGCCCATAATGTTAAGCAGTAATCATAAGTGAGGAATGTATCCTACTGCCACCGCTTGAAAATCTGATATTGCTTTTGAATAAGCTATTTTGAGAAGGTGCTAGTGGACCGTTTGTGAAACGGAAGGGAAATATGAGGCAAGAGCTGTGTATCTTTTCTTATCGTTGAATAATTTCGACGATCGTAGTTTTTTGAGGTCTTTCAGTTTAAAATTCATTCGTACTTGTGCTGAAGTATAATTTTGGGAAGAGTTGATAGGCGAGCTAATTGCAAGCTAACTGGTGTTAAATAGATAACATTGAATTATTGAAATAGAAAACGTTACGTTTAGTTTACAAAAGTTAGAGCTCCCCTGTTTGGAACCACTGACTTGAAAACAACATGACTTTACCAATTTTAGTCGTTAGATCAGGTTTAGATGTTCATTTCAACGTCAATTTACTCTCATGACAGCCATGAAAACTGCATTTGGCCATCCTTCCCGGCCAGTGTACTTTGGGTTGCGCCCCTGCTCCATGATATGAAAGGCAGATTAATGAGACCTCATATTTTGTCCATAAATTTTAGTTTATAGGTACAGTGCATTTTAATGTGATTATGTATAAAGAAATTGTTCTTTAATCACTTGTTGCATTCACATAAGTGCATTTGGGGTTTAAATGAGTTCAAAAAAGATGCTTTGGTGCTAACTGTACTTAGAGTTTTTGGCTCGTTTAGGAGATCGGCGAATCCGAGTTCACACCTTGGCTCTGCCCGCTTCTGACAGTGTGCCAGAAATTCAGAATGGAGCTGATGTGCAGGCGATAATCTCATTACTTTCGAGAATGGGTTTGTTTCTTAACAGTTAATTTAGTACAATGCTGAGTTGACTTTTAGCAGTGTACAAAAGCGTAACTAGCACCGTGAGTGACGCTCGTGAGGCACTTTTCAACTCCTGTGTGGATGCAGTGGCGACATTAAACCGTCATCTGCACGCATCCACTTTCTCAGCTTCGTTGCTCTCGCCAAAGAGTCTCAGCTTGCTGCCACTGTATATCCTCGGACTGATGAAACACGTAACAACACCTTGAAGTTATGGCCTCTACTCTTCCGATCACTGTCTCGTTATAGACTGCGTTTTCTTACGGAACGAGCATCAAGCTGGATCACCGCGTTATGGCCATGGCCAACTTCATGTGGCTGCCAATTTCTTTGCAGATGCTCGAGGTGCATCCGAACCTCTACTCATTGTCTAGCATCGCTAAACAGGTAAACACTTTTAAGGTTTCAGCGTAAGCACGGCTAACGTTGCAGAAATGCATGACCATAATGCTAGTATTCTCCAGTGTTTTGGAAGTAATTAGCAGTAGTTCACTTATTGATACACATGGGCTGAACTTCGTAAGCTTATACCGGTACCGTGTCACTGCTGCCTGGAAGTAGATGTATCTTGTGGTTCTACGATTAATAGCCCTAAAAGTTACAAGAAATTCTTTTTTAATGCAGATCTTACGCTTTCATCCAACTGGCTTTCATGTGTCATCATCAGGGAATGAACATTAATTTATCTAGCTTCTTGGATCAGTTGATGTTTGACCGAATTGGTGGAATGTTTGATCCGATGGCGATTTGATTAAGCCAGACATGCAGGGTTCCCTTGAGTTTGGCCTATATGGTTTGGCCAAAACGGTGACAATAACATTGACTTTAGCATTAAATCTACAAAATCTGTATTTAAGAAGACGCATAATTTAAACGAGTTTTGAAATAAGAAGTTTTTTGCTTCAATTTTGCCAATCATTAAGTCAGTTTCTATGACCAATTTATTCTTTCGTACAGCGGAGGCAGACGCAGTATCTCCAGCGTTCCCGTTCCTTTACCAACGTCTGACGTTCAGCAGAAGGAAACCTGTCTTTAACCGAGTCCGTCGACACACTTGCCCCAGGTGATTCTTGGCCGTTTACGAGGTTTTCAGTTGATGCATTGGGCGAGTAGTAGTTGCTTCGCCTTCATTTCTTGAGGCATTCACAGTACGTCGCCAAACCATCGTAGCTGTGATTTCTCGATTTAGAAAGCAAAGGCTGAATACCGAAGCTCTCTCGGATATCTGAACTTCGGATTTTATTGAGATACGTCAGCCCAGCAGTTCGTCTGGAAAAGCTAATTTCAGCCGCTTTTACCTGAAATGAAAGTTTTTCAGCCAGCTTTTTGTATCTGAGTCAGTTTTTCAGCGGTACCTCTTTTTTAACACCGTTTGCAGACTTTTCTCCGTCAGGCCAATAAGGTAATACATAACTGTAGCACTCGCCGTGCTCTTCCTTCTTGAACAGAGGTACTATAACCCTTTTTCTCCAGTCCATTGATGTCTTCCTGTGCAGTTTCACAGGTACGTGTTGGGCACAACATATCTAGTTTACCTAAAATTTTAAGCATTTAAGGGCAGATTTCATCGATTCTAGTAGCTTTGCCACTTTTGAAGCTTTTTATAGTTTCTGTGAGTTCATCTACTGTAACACCAATATCGTTGCCTGCTGCTCTTCAGGCGAGCCTTCCTTCTGTTGCTCGGGGTTAAGAAGTTCCTCAAAGTTCTCTGTGCCTCGCGAAAGTATGTCTTCTTTTTCGGTAGGAGGGCGTCATGACTTGTCTCGTATAACTTTTAGACTGCCGTTCATTGCATGTTGGATGCTGTGGATGGTTTTCTCCAGTACCTTGTTTGCCGTTTGCAAATTCGACCTCAGTACCGTACGAAACTTTTCCCAGGAGAGGGCTTTCGCTTTGGCTACTGCTGCCTTTTGCAGCTCTTCGTGCTTCATTTGAGAGGCTAGTAACTTCCAGCTCATCTCTTGAATGCATTCTCCTTCTCGTTGACATCCAGTCGTATCAACCAGGAGGTTCGTTTCTGATCAGACGGCAAGTCAACCCGTTTGAAACCACAGTATTCTGCGGCAGTCCGAGTGCACCGCATTTTAAAAGCTGTCACTCAGTTTTCACATCAGCGGTCATTACCGGGACCTGTTCAAACCTTCATGCGATATTGTTTGCAATTTTCCCCTCATTATAATGTTTCCCGTTTGATTCTCTGGTTGCCTGTTCCGCCAAGTCTTCGCGTTGTACTCTGTTGTTTACAACAGATGAAGAAAAGTGATGATCGATTGACAGCTCTCTGCCTCTCGTAACGCGAACATCCATTCCATAGAGTCTTAAGTCAGAGGACACGATTATCAAATCGATCATCGGCTTGTGTGCACAAGCTTCTCTATACCAAGTATCATGATGCACGCTTCAATCATCGAGGAAGTTATTCATAGTAGACAGTCCATTGATGCACAATACGACCACAACTTCATACCGTTATTGTTGAAGTGACTAGGGCCGTTCTTTCCCGTCGTGCCTTTCCATATTTCCGTGTACTCTGATATGCGCATTAGAATGAGGGACTCCGTAGTTGGTACTTCATCAAGAGCGTACTCCACTTCCTCAAGGAAGGGCTCATGTTCTACCTCCAAATTGGACGCCCGGATCCATTACAAGGCCAAAACTTTGGTCTTTTGTTGTAGCTTCAATAAGATGAATTTCACTCTTCCGCTGGCAGGTTTTCGTGATTCACACTTGAGTAGCATATTTTTCACTTTCCACCTGCAGAAATGGAAAAAATCGAGTTATGGCGCTTCATTGACTATAGTCAAAATATGCGCAGTTGGTACCTTTTGTCCTCATCAAGTAGCTTCTGTTGAGAGGGATGTCCCATTTTTCCAGTCTGAGTTCCCACTGTTGGCATCATTTCCGTTGAATCTACTGTGACGTGCTATGATTGAATTTCACGGTCTGCCTCTTCTCTTCAGAACGGGTAGCGGGATTGTGGATGATTGGTTTCTTCACCTTCTTCTTATCGATCTTCGGCAGCGATGTCCTTGATTTTACGCTTCCAACTGCCAGAATGCGTGAAGGAGTTTCTGATTGCCGACTTCGCTGCGTACTTCAGTTTTTCAACAGCTTGGGCTGCTCTTTGTAACCCGCACGACGACCAAGCCGGTAAAGCGTTCGATAATTACAATACCGTGAAGGCAGGGGGCTAATTTTTTCAAATGATCTCGTCCCAGTCCCCAATTCTTCTCCTTTCTCATTGAAGTTGTGATATGCAACGGCAGCGTTTTGAGATTTACGTATAACGAGAAAGTGGCTGTGTAATGAATTGGATACGACTACTGATTCAGACTTTACTTTATGGTAGTTCTGCGTTTGCTGCAAATAGGTCGACACTGTTTTTTTTGACTGGAGTTAAATTTATTGCTGAAACCTTGTCTGATATTTCCAGATAGAGCGCTTTACTCATAGTGGAGCCAGTCATGGATGTTGCCGACAATACAGCATCTAAATATGGTTTTCATGGCAACTGACATTTTGCCGCACGATATACTCCTGTGTTTTTAGCGCTGGCAGACTCGATGGCCTATTATTATATTTTCTTACTATAAGCGAGTCTTTTAGTTAATGAATCTTACAGTTTTTTTCAACATAGGAAGGAGATCTTTTGTTGTTACCACTGTCTTTTGAAAATATCGAAAAGGATGGCGTCTATCTGATGGACGCTGGAAGCTATATGTACCTGTACATCGGCAAGGATGTTCCAGATTCATTCTGCAGCAGTCTGTTTGGTGTGGTTAAACCACTGGATATTGATCCAGCGATGGTAAGTTCTCCAACGTTATTAAATTGTTATATTCTAATATAACCGTTCGATAATCGATGATGGAATTCATTTCAGCTAGATTCAGATGGATATCAGGATTATATCGGTCATAAAATGATGAAGCGGTTCCTCAAAAATGAAGCCCATTTTCCAGTCTTCTTGTTAGGGAATTGGCTATTTCGAGAGCTCGTCGAGACTGTCGTGACTAAGTGCTTTTCCTAACAGGTTTTATCGAAATGGGCTACCAACGAAAATTAAAACAGCGACAGCTTTCATTCAGCTTTTTTCTGTTGACGATACAATGTGTCGAAAATGTCACCAGCTTTAATCATCGCGAACCCTCCCGTATTAAAGATTGACTCGTTACCATAATGTTAGTAATTTTATTTATTTTTTCTTTCTCTCTGGGTTACATCTTGTGATGATTATCTCATTGGATAGTCAGCTATCAAGTTGGTCAAGGAGAAGTGCACTCAAAAGGGGCGCTCACGTAGCACAGAATGACCGTACACTTCGTTTGTTCAAGTGTGATCACATCAGAAGATCATGCTGTCTCAGTTATTGTCAAGTTAACGACTTGCTACCCGTTTCTCAGCGGTGACACTTAAGCGGCCTGGGGCAAATTGCTTGCTCAAGGAAATTCATTGTTAAGAAAAATGTTGTCTCTTCTCTGTATTCATATTCGTCACAGAATGAAGCCAGTCTCTTCATCAGCGAGCCTTTCGAATCTGGATGAGTTGTTGGAGGTATTTTATCCATTTGATGACACGGCAAGGTGACCAAACCATCGTTTTCCCCAGGGTTCTGTTTGTCATCAGTTTTTTTTTTATTCAGCATTTTCATCAGCGACATCCACACTGCCGTATCATGTTCGTTCAGCAATCCAGTGTCAGGGCAGAAAAGTAGGCACCTTCCTCGAAGGACGTAGAGCAGATTCTTTTTCAGTCATCTCCTTCCATATAAATAATGGTAATGCCAAAGTTACTACGAACTGGAAGTATTGTGGTGTGTACCTCTAACGATCTGAATTCATGATGTCTAGGAGTCAGTTTACTTGGCAGCGTCTAGAGCAAACGATAAAGAAAAGAGTACGAGGGTAAACATCAATCAATAGATCATTGTTGCATAATAAATATATGACCTTCTTACGCCCTGCACTTCGACAAAAGGCCTCGTGGTGCTGAACGAACAACGCACCAAACTGCGCGCCACTGTGGTGCAACGGCAAGGTCTGTCTTGTAGATACCGAAACCAATGTCACACTGGTCTC